ATACTGGTCCATACCAGTCCATACCGGTCCATACTGGTTTATACTGGTCCATACTGGTCCGTACTGGTCTGTACCGGTCCGTACCGGTCCATACTGGTCCATACTGGTCCGTACTGGTCTGTACCGGTCCATACTGGTCCATACTGGTCCATACTGGTTTATACTGGTCCATACCGGTCCATACTGGTCCTTAGTGGTCCATACTGGTCCATACTGGTCCGTACTGGTGCAGGAACTTCCACGTGTGGAACGACTGCTGGATGAAGCGGCCGGATCTGCCCGAGGGCTACGACGGCTGGCAGGTGGTGGACGCCACGCCCCAGGAGACCAGCAGCGGTACTGGGATATACTGGTTATACTGGGATATACTGGGGTATACTGGTTATACTGGGATGGACTGGTTATACTGGGATATACTGGTTATACTGGGATATACTGGGGTATACTGGTTATACTGGGATGGACTGGTTATACTGGGATATACTGGTTATACTGGGATATACTGGGGTATACTGGTTATACTGGGATGGACTGGTTATACTGGGATATACTGGTTATACTGGTTTGGACTGGGATGGACTGGGATGGACTGGGTTGGACTGGGATGGACTGGGATGGACTGGGTTGGACTGGGATGGACTGGGATGGACTGGGTTATACTGGGTTATACTGGGTTATACTGGGTCATACTGGTTTATACTGGGTTATACTGGGTTATACTGGGTCATACTGGTTTATACTGGGTTATACTGGGTTATACTGGTTTGGACTGGGAGGGGACTGGACTGAACTGGGAGGGGATTTGGGGGGCTGGGAGGGAGTTAAAGGGTTAAAAATGAGGGGAAATGGGAGAAATTGGACTGGGTTATACTGGTTTGGACTGGGATGAGATTGCGAGGGACTGGGAGGGAGTTTGGGTTACTGGTTTGTACTGGTTTGGACTGGTTTATACTGGTTTGTACTGGTTTGGGCTCTGGGGTTACTGGTTTATACTGGGATGGGACTGGGAGGGGTTTGGGGTTACTGGTGTGTGCTGGTTTGTACTGGTCTGGAACGGGTTTAAGTGGTTGGACTGGTCCATACTGGTTTATACCGGTCCATACCGGTCCGTACCGGTCCGTACTGGTCCATACTGGTTTATACCGGTCCATACTGGTTTGTACTGGTTTGTGCTGCGGTTCCATACCGGTCCATACCGGTCCATACTGGTTTATACTGGTTTATACCGGTTCCATACTGGTTTATACCGGTCCGTACCGGTCCATACCGGTTCCATACCGGTTCCATACCGGTCCATACCAGTTTATACTGGTCCATACTGGTCCATACTGGTCCGTACTGGTTTATACTGGTCCATACTGGTCCATACTGGTCCGTACTGGTCCATACTGGTCCATACTGGTCCGTACTGGTCCATACTGGTCCATACTGGTCCGTACTGGTCCATACTGGTTTATACCGGTTCCATACTGGTTTATACGGGTTTATACTGGTCCATACTGGTCCATACTGGTTTATACTGGTCCGTACCGGTCTGTCTGCGGTTCCAGGCCTGTTCTGCTGCGGGCCCTGCTCCGTCACCGCTGTCAAGAACGGCGACGTTTTCCTCAAGTACGACACGCCCTTCGTCTTCGCCGAGGTGGGCGGGGCCAGTTATGCAAATGAGCGCTTAATTAGCTCCCTTAGTACCTACAATTACTAATGCCCAGGGGGTGGTGGTGGGTAATTATGCAAATGAGGGGGTCGGTTATGGAAATGGGGAGGTGGGAAACAACAAAGGGTTCTGGTGGGGAGGGGTGGGCGTGGCTTGATTATGCAAATGAAGGGTTAATGAGGCAGATTGGGAGGGTGAATTAATGCTGCTGGTGGATGGTTGGGTGTTAGCTATGCAAATGAGGGGTTAATTATGGTAATGAGCCGGTGAGCAATTAGTGTGCGCTAATGTTGCGGCGGTGGGTGTGGCCTCAATATGCAAATGAGGGATGAATTAGGCTAATTAAGATGCATATTTAATGGTGGTACTGGGTGACAAATGATTATGCAAATGAGATCGTTAATTATGGAAATGAGCCCCTCAGCAATCAGGTAGATTGATCTGTTGGGCGTGGCCTAAATATGCAAATGAGGGCTTGATTACGCTAATTATTAGGTGTGATAATGGTGCTGCTGAGGGGTGGAACTAATTATGCAAATGAGGGACGTAATTATGGAAATGAGCCGGTGAGCAATGAGGGTGCGCTGGTGGCTTGAGGTGGGGGCGTGGCCTATTTATGCAAATGGGATCGTTAATTATGCCCTGGTGGAAAACAACATTGTTAACCGGCAGTGGTGGCTTCTGGTGGGCGTGGCCTATTTATGCAAATGAGACCGGGTGTGGGTTACTTGCGCTAATTAACGCTAACGAGGTGGTTAATTATGCAAATGAGCAGGAGAACGGCGGCTCCATGTGGTGGTGGGCGTGGCCTCTGTATGCAAATGAGACCAGGTGAAGGTTTGTTCCGCTAATGAGGCGCGGGGCTAATTATGCTAATGACTGGCCGATTAATGAGGTGATTGATTATGCAAATGAGCAGGTGAATAGTGACAAGGCCTACAGGCCTGAATATGCAAATGAGGGCTTAATGGCACTAATTAGAGGGGTAATTAACGCTGCTGGTAAAAGGGGATTAATGATACCAATGAGGTAATTAACTATGCTAATGAGGTGGTTAATTATGCAAATGAGGTGCGCTGGCAGCTGCAGGGATGTGCCCTAATTATGTCAACCAGGGGTTAATTATCCTAATTAGAAGCAGTAATTAACTCTGTTGCTGAGTGAGTGATAATGTATGCAAATGAGCTCATAGAATATGCAAATGAGGCAGGCGAACCACAAGGGGCACGGGCAGCTGTGATGGGCCCCACCTAATTACACAAAACCTGGGGCTAATTACACTAATTAAGAGCCACAACTCATTCCCCAGATTCGTGGGTGATTCAATATGCAAATGAGCTCACAAAATATGCAAATGAGGCCCGGGCAGCAGCAGTGGACACCTGCTAATTAGGCAAAACTTGGGGTTAATTACCCTAACAACAAAACATAATTAATGGCGCTGCAGAGGGGAGTTACTAATGACGCTGACCGCCTAATTAATATGCAAACGAGCTGAATAATTATGCAAATTCCAGGTGAGCAGCCACAAGGTGCACGGGACATTCCTTAATTACACGAAACCTGGGGCTAATTAGCCTAACAACAAAACGTAATTAACTACGCTGCTGAGGGCACCTATGAGCGATTCTAGAGGAGCCCAAGATATGCAAATGAGCTCATTAACTATGCAAATCCCAGGCGAACAGCCCCAAGCTGTGCTGGCAGCGCCAGCCCCAAGGTGGCGCCCTAATTAAATAAGCCAGGGGTTAATTACCCTAATTAGGAGGTAAAGTCAATCCAGCAGCAGAAGAGGCTGATTACTATGCAAATGAGCTCATTAATTATGCAAACGGCAGGTGAACAGCCCCAAGCTGTGCTGGCAGTGCCAGCCCCAAGGTGGCGCCCTAATTACACAAAGCAGGGGTTAATTACCCTAATTAGGAGGTAAAGTCAATCCTGCACCTGAGGAGGCTGATTACTATGCAAATGAGCTCATTAATTATGCAATCGGCAGGTGAACAGCGACAGGGTGTACTGGCAGCGGCAGCCCCAAGGGGGGATGCAAGGTGCACTGGCAGCGGCGGCCCCAGGGGGGATGATGGTGGCATCCTAATTAGACGAACCAGGGTTAATTACCTTAATTGGGAGGCAGAGTTAATCCGGCACCTGAGGAGGCTGATTACGATGCAAATGAGCTCATTAATTATGCAATCGGCAGGTGAACAGCGACAGGGTGTACTGGCAGCGGCAGCCCCAAGGGGGGATCCCAGTGATGCTCTAATTAAAGCAGGGATTAATTACCCTAATTGGGAGGCAGAGTCAACCCAGCAGCTGAGGAGGCTGATTACGATGCAAATGAGCTCATTAATTATGCAAATCCCAGGTGAACAGCGACAAGGTGTACTGGCAGCGGCAGCCGCACGGCGGATTCGCCGTGGTGCACGTGGAGGAGGGCGCGATCGGCCGCAGGATCAGCACGCTGGGGGCCGGCTCTGCGGCCAGAGTGGACATCACTGACCAGTACAAACACCCCGAGGGTCAGTGAGTGACCACGAGTGACCACTGAGTGACCACTGACCCTGAGTGACCATAGAGTGACCCTGAGTGACCCTGAGTGACCCTGAGTGACCATAGAGTGACCCTAGAGTGACCACAGAGTGACCTTGAGTGACCACAGAGTGACCGCAGGATCAGCACGCTGGGGGCCGGCTCTGCGGCCAGAGTGGACATCACTGACCAGTACAAACACCCCGAGGGTCAGTGAGTGACCACTGAGTGACCACTGGCCACTGAGTGAGCCAATTCTTGAGCAATGACCAGTGACCCAACCAATGATCAATGACCTGACTCTTGACCCAACCAATGACCCAACCCTTGACCCAACCAATGACCAACCAATGACCAGTGACCCAACCAATGACTCCTTGACCCAGCTCTTGACTCAACTCTTGACCAATGACCCAACCAATGACACAACCAATGACCTCTTGACCGACGACCCAACCCTTGACCCCTTGACCCAACCAATGACCAATGACCCAACCAATGACCAATGACCCAACCCTTGACCAATGACCCAACCAATGGTCAGTGACCCAGCCAATGACCCCTTGACTCAACCAATGACCAATGGCCCAGCCCTTGACCCAACCAATGACCAATGGCCCAGCCCTTGACCCAGCCAATGACCAATGACCCAACTCTTGACCCAACCCTTGACCAATGACCCAACCAATGACCCCTTGACCGATGACCCAACTCTTGACTCAACCAATGACCCCTTGACCCAACCCTTGACCAATGACCCAACCCTTGACCCAACCCTTGACCCCTTGACCCAACCCTTGACCCAACCCTTGACCCAACCAATGACCCCTTGGCCAATGACCCAACTCTTCACCCAACCCTTGACCAATGACCCAGCCAATGACCCCTTGACCAATGACCCAACTCTTGACTCAACCAATGACCCCTTGACCCAACCCTTGACCCAACCCTTGACCCCTTGACCCAACCAACCCTTGACCCCTTGACCCATGTCCCAAGCAATGACCCCTTGACCCAACCCTTGACCCAACCCTTGACCCCTTGACCCCCTCCAGGCTCGGAGGAGGAGCGCCGCGCCGTCTCCTCCGCCACTTCGCACGGCTCCCGTCCCCGGCAGCGCGGCCCGGCCTCGGCCGGCGAGGTGACGCTGACCGTCGGCGCCGCTCCGGCCGTGGCCGGAGCCGAGCTGGAGCTGCGGGCGGCCGTCAAGAACCAAGGGCTGGAGCCTCGGACGCTGCGGCTGCGCTTCTCCCTCTGCGCCGTCCGCTACACCGGCGTGGCCGGAGCCGCCTTCCGGCAGGAGCAGCACCGCCGGACGCTGCCCCCGGGCCAGGGTGAGCCACTGGGTTGGACTGGTTTGGACTGGTTTGTACTGGTTTGGAATGGTTTGTACTGGTTTGGAATGGTTTGGAATGGTTTGTACTGGTTTGGAATGGTTTGTACTGGTTTGGTACTGGGATGTCCCCAGTGTCCCCTGGGGTGTCCTGGGGCTGTCCCTGATGTCCCCTGGTGACATCCCTGGGGGTGTCCCCAATGTCCCCTAGGGGATGTCCCTGGGGGTGTCCCCAATGTCTCCTTGGGATGTCCCTGATGTCCCTGGGGATTGTCCCCAATGTCCCCTGGGGGTGTCCCTGATGTCCCTGGGGGTGTCCCTAATGTCCCCTGGTAACATCCCTGGGGGTGTCCCCAGTGTCCCCTAGGGGATGTCCCTGGGGGTGTCCCAAACATCCCCCCGATGATGTCCCCTGGGGTGTCCCCGATGTCCTGAGGATATCCCTGGGGGTGTCCCCAATGTCCCCCCAGTGATGTCCCTGGGGGTGTCCCTGATGTCCCTGGGTCATGTCCCCAGTGTCCCTGGGAGTGTCCCTGATGTCCCCGGGCGTGTCCCTAATGTGCTCTGGGGGTGTCCCTGGGCGTGTCCCTGGGTGTGTCTCCAATGTCCCTGGGGGTGTCCCCAATGTCCCCTAGGGGATGTCCCTGGGGGTGTCCCCAATGTCCCCTGGGGGTGTCCCTGATGTCCCTGGGCGTGTCCCCAATGTCCCCTGGGGATGTCCCTGGGGATGTCCCTGATGTCCCAGGGGATTGTCCGCAATGTGCTCTGGGGGTGTCCCCAATGTCCCCTAGGGGATGTCCCTGGGGGTGTCCCCAATGTCCCTGGGGGTGTCCCTGATGTCTCTGAGGGTGTCCCTGATGATGTCCCCAATGTCCCTGGGGGCTGTCCCCAATGTCTCCTTGGGGTGTCCCTGATGTCCCTGGAAGTGTCCCTGATGTCCTAGGGTTGTCCCTGGGGGTGTCCCTGGGGGTGTCCCTGGGGGTGTCCCTGGGGGTGTCCCCGATGTCCCCAATGTCCCTGGGGGTGTCCCCAATGTCCCTGGGGGTGTCCCCGATGATGTCGTCCCTGGGCGCTGTCCCCAATGTCTCCTTGGGGTGTCCCTGATGTCCCTGGAAGTGTCCCTGATGTCCTAGGGTTGTCCTTGGGGGTGTCCCTGGGGGTGTCCCCAATGTCCCTGGGGGTGTCCCCGATGATGTCCCCAATGTCCCTGGGCGTGTCCCCGATGTCTCCTTGGGGTGTCCCCGATGTCCCCCAGGGGATGTCCCTGGGGGTGTCCCTGGGTGTGTCTCCAATGTCCCTGGGGGTGTCCCCAATGTCCCTGGGCGTGTCCCCGATGTCTCCTTGGGGTGTCCCCGCTGTCCCCCAGGGGATGTCCCTGGGGGTGTCCTTGAGGTGTCCCCGATGTCCCCCAGGGGATGTCCCTGGGGGTGTCCTTGAGGTGTCCCCGATGTCCCCCAGGGGATGTCCCTGGGGGTGTCCTTGAGGTGTCCCCGATGTCCCCCAGGGGATGTCCCTGGGGGTGTCCTTGAGGTGTCCCCGATGTCCCCCAGGGGATGTCCCTGGGGGTGTCCTTGAGGTGTCCCCGATGTCCCCCAGGGGATGTCCCTGGGGGTGTCCCTGGGGGTGTCCCTGGGGGTGTCCCCAATGTCCCCGCTGTCCCCTCAGAGGACACGGTGACGACGGCCGAGTACCAGCCGCACGTGGGGGACCAGGACGCGCTGAAGCTGACGGGGGGTGTCCCTGGGGGTGTCCCTGGGGGTGTCCTTGAGGTGTCCCCGATGTCCCCAATGTCCCCAATGTCCCCTCAGAGGACACGGTGACGATGGCGGTGAGCTACGCCGAGTACCAGCCGCACGTGGGGGACCAGGACGCGCTGAAGCTGACGGTGGCGGCGGCCGTGCAGGAGACGGGGCAGGTGCTGGCCAGGGAGCTGCTGGTGCGGCTGCACACGCCCGAGCTCACGCTGACGGTAAGGGGCCAAAAACCCCCCAAAAATCCAAAAAATCCCCCCAAAAATATCGCAAAAATCCCACCCAAAAAAATCACAGAAACCTCCTAAAAAATCACCTCAAAAATCCCAAAAATTTGGGGTTCTGTAGGGCAAGGTTGCTGCACACGCCTGATGGGAACGGCCCCGAAACCCCAAAAATCCCCCCGAAAAATCCCAGAAATGGCCAAAAGAATTCCTGAAAATCCCCAAAAAATGCCTCAAAAAATCCCCCAAAATGCCTCAAAAAATACCAAAAAATCCCCCCAAAAATCCCCCCAAAAAATCCCCAAAATCCCTCCAAAAAATGCCTCAAAAAATATCAAAAATCCCCCCAAAAAAATCCCCAAATCCCCCAAAAAAATCCCAATTATCCCAAAAAAAAATCCCCAAAAATACCTCAAAAAAATCCCAAAATCCTCCAAAAAATCCCCAAAATCCCCTCAAAAAAATCCCAAAATCCCCTTAAAAAATCCCCCAAAAATCCCAAATATCCCCAAAAAAATCCCCCAAAAAATCCCAAAAATCCCCAAAAAACCCCCAAAAAAGCCTCAAAAAATCCCCAAAATACCTCAAAAAAATCCCCAAAATCCCCTCAAAAAATCCCAAAAATCCCCCTAAAAAATCTCCAAAATCCCCTCAAAAAAATCCCAAAATCTCCCTAAAAAAATCCCAAAAAATCCCCCAAAAAATCCCAAAAATCCCCAAAAAATCCCAAAAATTTGGGGTTGGGTTGGGCAGGGTTGCTGCACTCTCCCGAGCTCATCCTGATGGGAACGGCCCCGAAATGCCCCCAAAATCTGTAAATCCCATTGGTTTCAATGGGGGTAGACCTGGTGTCTGTAAATCCCCATTGGGTTTAATGGGGGTAGACCTGTTGTCCCAACATGGCCCATTGACTTTAATGGGGTAGACCTGGTGTCCAAATGTTCCCATTGACTTTAATAGGGTAAACTTGGTGTCCCAAAGTCCCCATTGGTTTCAATGGGGGTAGATCTGGTGTCCAAATATTCCCATTTACTTTAATGGGTAGACCTGGTGTCCAAATTTTTCCTTTGATTTTAATGGGGTAGCTCTGGTGTCCAAAATTTTCCATTGATTTTTTAATGGGGGTAGACCTGGTGTCCAAAAATCCCCATTGACTTTGAGTATACTTGGTGTCCAAATTTTACTTTAATGGGGTAGGCCTGGTGTCTGTAAATCCCAATTGGTTTCAATGGGGGTAGACCTGGTGTCCAACACTTTTCATTTTTTTAATGGGGTAGATCTGGTGTCTGTAAATCCCTGTTGGGTTTAATGGGGGTAGACCTGGTGTCCAAAAAACCCCATTGACTTTAATGTGGCAGACCTGGTGTCTGTAATCTCAAATTCCCCATTGACTTTAATGGGGTAGACCTGGTGTCCAAAAATTCCCATTGACTTTAATGGGGTAGACCTGGTGTCTGTCAATCTCAAATTCCCCATTGACTTTAATGGGGGTAGACCTGGTGTCTCTCAATCTGCATTGGGCTTAATGGAGGTAGACCTGGTGGCTAAACCCCCATTGACTTTAATGGGGTAGACCTGGTGTCGCCGAATCCCCATTGACTTTAATGGGGTAGACCTATTGTCCAACAATCCCCATTGCCTTCAATGGGTAGACCTGTTGGCCAACATTCTCCATTTACTTGAATGGGTAGACCTGTTGTCCAACATTCCCCATTTACTTTAATGGGTAGACCTGTTGTCCAGAACATTTTGGGTCCAAAATCACCCATTTTGGGCCCAAATCTCACGATTTTCACACTAAAAATCACCATTTTCAAGCCAAATCTGATCATTCTGGGCTAAAAATTATAAACCCAAGGTCAAACACAAGAATTTGGGGGCAAAAATTTGTTTAAAATGGTGAAAAAAGAGGAGAATTTTGGGTAAAAAAGGGATTTTTTAGGGGTAAAAAATGGGATTTTGGACTGGGATTTTTTTGGGGTGAAACGTGGGGATTTTGGGTGTCCCGCAGCTGCTGGGCCCGGCCGTGGTGGGCCAGGAGGTGGCGGTGCAGGTGGTTTTCCAGAACCCTCTGCCCGAGCCGCTGAATGGAGCCTCGCTGCGCATGGAGGGCGCCGGGATCTCCTGCCCCAAACCCGTGTCGCTGGGGTGAGGCTGGTTTATACTGGTTTATACTGGGAGGGACTGGGAGGGGGGAAATGGGGAGAAAAGGGGAGAAAATGGGGAAAAATGGGGGAAAAATGGAGAAAAAAGGGTGAAAAATGGGTAAAAAAGGGTTAAAAAAGGGTTAAATTTGGAATTAGGGTTACTGGTTTGGACTGGGAGGGACTGGGAGGGACTGGGAGGGGGGAAATGGGGAGAAAAGGGTTAAAAAGGACAAAAAATGGGTAAAAATGGGAGAAAACGGGTTAAAAATGGGTTAAGAAACGGTTAAAAGGGGATTTTGGGGTTACTGGTTTATGGACTGGGAGGGGGGAAATGGGGAGAAAAGGGTTAAAAAGGACAAAAAAATGGGTAAAAATGGGAGAAAATGGGTTAAAAATGGGTTAAGAAACGGTTAAAAGGGGATTTTGGGGTTACTGGTTTATAAAGGGATGGACTGGGAGCTCATTTCTCCCATACTGGTCCATACTGGTCCGTACTGGTCCATACTGGTCCATACTGGTTTATACTGGTCCATACTGGTCCGTACTGGTCCATACTGGTCCATACCAGTCCATACTGGTCTGTACTGGTCCGTACTGGTCCATACTGGTTTATACTGATCCGTACTGGTCCATACTGGTCCATACCAGTCCATACTGGTCTGTACTGGTCCGTACTGGTCCATACTGGTGGTCCATACCGGTCCATACTGGTCCATACTGGTCTGTACTGGTCCGTACTGGTCCATACTGGTTTATACTGATCCGTACTGGTCCATACTGGTCCATACCAGTCCATACTGGTCTGTACTGGTCCGTACTGGTCCATACTGGTCCATACCGGTCCATACTGGTCCGTACTGGTCCATACTGGTTTATACTGATCCGTACTGGTCCATACTGGTCCATACCAGTCCATACCGGTCCGTACTGGTCCATACCAGTCCATACTGGTCCATACCGGTCCATACTGGTCTGTACTGGTCCGTACTGGTCCATACTGGTCCGTACTGGTCCATACTGGTTTATACTGATCCGTACTGGTCCATACTGGTCCATACCAGTCCATACCGGTCCGTACTGGTCCATACCAGTCCATACTGGTCCATACCGGTCCATACTGGTCTGTACTGGTCCGTACTGGTCCATACTGGTCCGTACTGGTCCATACCGGTCCATACTGGTCCGTACTGGTCCATACTGGTTTATACTGATCCGTACTGGTCCATACTGGTCCATACCAGTCCATACCGGTCCATACCGGTCCGTACTGGTCCGTACTGGTCCATACTGGTCCATACTGGTCCATACTGGTCCATACTGGTCCATACTGGTCCGTACTGGTCCATACTGGTCCATACTGGTCCATACTGGTCCGTACTGGTCCATACCGGTCTCTCCCTGTCCCTCCCGCAGGTCGGTGGGGGCGGGGCAGACGCTCCGGCTCAGCCAATCAGTGACGCCGCTGCGGGCCGGACAGCGCCGCCTAGCGGCCACGCTGGAGAGCTCCACCCTGCCCCCCCTGCACGGCAGCGTCCAGTTCAGCGTGGCTACTGGGAATACTGGGAACACCGGGAACGCCGGGAGCACCGGGAGCCTGCCCGGCAGCACCGGGAACGCCGGCAGCCATACTGGGAGGAGGAGGAGGAGGAGGGGGAGGCCTGGCGGCAGCACGGGGGGGTGAACTGGGTCATACTGGGAGCACTGGGAGC